TGACTGGTTACTAAACAATTAGATATGACATGAATATATGTTGTAAATATTGTTTGTGAAAAGTATGTTAAAACAATAAAGTTGTAAAAATGTTATGTTATCTTTAAAGCAAATTATGATTTTATTTCTTTGCTGATTAATATTTGCAATTATTTGTTTGACACTGTAATTATTAAAAATGATGAATATGTAAAAAGTAACATTAGAAGAACTGAAAATTAAAAATGCTTTTTGTGCCCCCACTTTAAGGGGGGAGGGGCATTTAGATTTACCCTTGTCCGTCCGTACGTCCATCCGTCCGTTCTCTTTTGTGTTGCACGTAGCTCAAAAAGTATTTGACCAAGAGTCATGCAACTTTAGAGAAATATTGATCAGCATGTGCAGTTGTGCACCTGGGTATTTTCGTGTGGTTAAAGTTTATTGCCCTTGATTTAGTAAAAATTTACAATTTCAACTTATGTCGCACGTAACTCAAAAAGCATTTGTCTGGATATATTTAATATTTTTAGATTTATTGCTTTTGTGTCCCACATATCTCAAAAAGTATTTAGCACATGTAGCCTAAATATATTTGACCTAAAGTCATAAGATTGGCAAAACAGTGGAGTGTGGGGCACCCGTGTCCTATGGACACATTTCTAGCTTATCGTTGCTTTAAAATGCTTTGTAAAGTGTAAAATCGAGGGTGAACAAATAACAGCCGCCCCTATCGAGTGTTTATTGGCAGTTTAACACCGGTTTTTTCTTCTTTGTCTATAGTGACAAAATCACGTGGAGTCTCGTTACCACCTCGAGCTATGTAAGCTTAATACTGACTTTATTGAGGAACTCACATAATATAATTCTGTCAATAAATAAAGTAATAAACTTACACAGATATAATGATATTTTTGTCACATTCCAAAAATAAAACCTGTTTAAAGTAAAACATAACATTTTTTATTGACGCGCCTATAGTATAACGCCAACATTTAGCGTGTCTTAAGGCTACATGTTTGTATAACGCATATGACATCATATCAAAATATATGCACGTCCTTGCAATATTATTTTTACGGAGTCGCGAAAGCGGCACGTTTTTTTTGATAAATAGAGGGTATTGAATGAGTGTAAGTTCAATACTGAATTTATTGCACGAGTTGAATAAAATTATATTATGCGAGCCTCTGGCGAGCATAATATTATTTTATTCAACGAATGCAATAAATTCAGTAATGAACTTACACGAATTTAATATTCTATTTATCACAAATAAAAAAATAAAGACCGTTTAAGGTGAAATAAGAGTCGTATTATATTGACGCGCCTAAAGTATTACGCTAACATTTAGCGCGTTTTACACTATGTTTCTATAACGCTAATGACGTCACGTCAAAATATATGCACGGCCGTGCAATACCATATTAACGGAGTCGCAAAATCGGCACGAGTGTGTGATAAAGCCATTTAATAGTAAGAGTATGTCGATTGCGTGAAATATGGAATATATTTTAAGAAACATGATAAAATGCCACATATTTTCACAAGCCGAAATGGCGAGTAAAGATATGTGGCATTTTCTCATGTTGAGTGAAAATTTATACCATATTTCACGAATAACAAAATAATAACTTTTTTACCTAATTTCATTATCAAAGAAAAATGGTTACGAGCCGCCTTGCTTGCTACGGAACTGCAAATATACAGCGCGCAGTAATATATAGTGATTTTTATCGATATATGCGTCACGCGGTTCAATACACATAAAATTATTGTGTATTTAATTTCATTTTATGTTTTTCAAACAAAATACAGAGTATTAATGGCGAAATAAATGTGAAATTGAATCGGTTTGCGACATGGAAATAGCGGTCTTGTTTTTATTGTTTTTGCACGCGCTGTTTGGTGCTACATTGTGACGTCACGTGAACAACTCTTTAAACGTCAGTACAATGGTTATGACTGAATAAGAAAATTAATATTGGGGTTCGGATTAATTTTCTTAGTTAAAGGATTTTCTATCATTTACGATAGTTTTCAAAACAAAATTCAACATAAAGTTGTTTTTAATTGATCTTTTTTTTCCCCAAAGAAAATGGCGAAAGAAGTCCCTGAAAATAAATATGAGTTTTGACTCCGCCCACTTTCGTATTTATATTTCATATTTCTTTTAAACGAAAATGAAATATATTTGACTGATATAGCACCATAAAATTAAATAAAAAAGCGATATTGCACTAGTTCATAACACTCTGACGTGACGTCATTTGCGTTATATAAAAACATACAGTAGCGTTAAAGTTACACTATAGGCTCGTCATAAATTTTTTTTTAACAGTTTACCGTTCTTATTTTATTATGTGACAACTAGAATAATTTGAAATAAGGTGCTACCTATGGCGCGGAAAGCTCTTATTGATTAAGATTTGATACTTTAATATCAAACATTACATGTTTATCATACATGTATACAAGATCTTTAATACACTTGTTACTATATAAAGTAACAAAATTGCCCATGATTTCAACTGATTATGAGTGTCACGTGGCCTATTATGAGTTTGCGGCCCGGGGCAGAGAACTTGTTATCATCCCGCAGAACTAATGCACGTGCACAAACTGAAACAATGACGTCAGATTTTACGTCATCAAACAGTTAACTGTAAAAGTGAAAGTAGGTTTTTAGCACGAATCGATTTTATTATGAGAGCTTAAGCGTATTTCGTACAAACACAGTTTTTTTTAAACTAGATCTATTGAAATTTAAAGAAATAAAACGATAATACGACAAATTGATTCTGAAAAAAATATGAAAATAATACTTGCTTCTAGATTCTAGTGTACTTTGTACACATAAAAAGTAAACAACTCTGTAGACGTAACTGTACAGTACGGTAGAAGTACAGACAGGAATTTCAACGAAAGAAATATCAAAGTATTTCTTTTAGAAAAATGCTACTATTAGATCTACCAAGTGTATTAAAGACATTAATACACGTCATAGTTGTGCCAGAAAGCGATAATCGGCCCTGAAATGAATTATGCCCTCGGGCTGAAGCCCTCGGGGCCATTATTCATTTTACTGGTCGATTATCACCTTCCGGCCCTTCTCTGCCGTGTATTAATCTCTTATTCTTGCACTTCGAAAATAAGTAAAATTAAATTGTGTACCTTAAACAGAAACGAATGAATTGAACGAATTCAACCTAACACCGGAGTTCTCCGAATATTTCCGAAATCCTCCGAACTTCTCACAGTTATTTGAGTGGGTACACTCTGTGAGCACGACAGCCACGTAATTTGGAAAATCCCGTCCACCATGTTAATCTCTAAGCACAGTTGTTGTTTTTACGTTATATTTATTTTAAATGTGTTGTATCAAAATGGATATGTAAAAGTTAAGTTTTTATGTTTATAATAGTAACTGCAGTTCTTAAAAATGATAAGCATGATTATTTTCTGATTAATATATGACATACTTTTACCAGAAGTGTTATTTGGAATGCGTCTTCTAGCAATAGTCTCAATTATGTAGACGCTCAAAAGCACCCTGATATCTATATTAAGCTCACAAGGATTTCAAAATGACTTCGCCCAATTTACTAAGGATTTTTCTCAAACTAGTTAGATAATATGAATAAGGCAAGGCCTCAAAGCGAGCTCTTTGACAGAATTTATAGTAAATTATAATTTGAAGCCATTGGGGGCTTCACATTTTATGTTTTGAATACTATTAGAAATGCACACTTTTGGCCGCACAATCACTCAACACCATATTTTACATTTTCCGTTTTATAACTACAATTCGGTATTTTATGCACTGCTTCTTTTCATTGTGGTTTCCTGTCCTATTATGGTTCCCATAGAAGTGCGCAGGATACCAGTCTACGCATCCGTTTTCTTTCAAAAATTCTCGGCTCTTATCGTTATATTGTAGTTCGGAAAGTTGCGACTGGTCAATAACCCATAATTTTGCAGCACGTCCGGCGAATGTTATTAAAACCATCACTATCTAGCAGATACTCGCGTTACCGTTAAGCTTGCTTTGCGAGCAGGCCTGCTCTTCGAGCTCGCTATAATCTTCATTGATTGTAATGTGATTTTATAAATAATATATCCAAACAGTTATTTAATCGCTCAATAACATCACTGTGTGGATTTCTGATGCGATATCATCACCGATTTGGAGATATTATTTCGATTCTAACACGAAATCAAGAAATAAATGCTGTCATGCATGATATTAAGCTAAATTGCGCCTGATTTGTTTCTGTACTTATTTTCAGTGCGTCGTATTTTAGTGGTTACGTCATATGTATAATGATTACGTCACATCGTCATGTGTAAATATAGTCAATATGAAACGTCACAATGTTGATTCAATACTAAATTTATTGAACTCGTTGAATAAAACAATATTTTGCTCACCAGAGGCTCGCATAATATGATTTTATACAACTCCTTCAATATATTTAAGAAATAATTTATCCCAAACAGTGATTTTATCGCTCAATAACATCACTGTTTGGAGATCGGATGCGACGAATTATATCCCGAGGACGTAGCCCGAGTGATATAATGATGCGCATCCGAACGACAAACAGTGATGTTATCAAGCTATAAAATCACCGATTTGGATATATTATTTCGATTCTAACACGACATCAACACATAAATGCTGCTGTACCTGATATTAAGCAAAATTGCGCCTGATTTGTTTCCGTACTTATTTTCAGCGCGTCACATTTTTTAGTGGTTACGTCACGTGTATAATGATTACGTCACATATAGAGGATATTGAATGAGTGTAGGTTTAATACTAAATTTATTGAACGAGTTGAATAAAATGATATTGGCGAGCATAATATTGTTTAATTCAACGAGTTCAATAAATTTAGTATTGAATCTACACGAATATAATATTCTATTTATCACATATTATTATTATATGAAATAAGAACGGTAAACTGTTATCAAGAGTCTTTTTTTTTTGACGAGCCTTTAGTGTAACGCTCACATTTGCGCGCTTTAACGCCATGTTTATAGCGCAAATGACGTGACGTCAAAGTGTTATTACACTAGTGTAATATCGTCTAGTGTAATATCGTTTTTATTAAATGGCTTTATTACACTCCTGCGCCGCGGTTTATGTGATAAATCTAAATATAGAACGTCAAGCAGTGACTTTATAGCATAATAACACACTCTTTCGGTTCTTCTATGTTCAATAGGGTATGTAAGTCTCGTCATGTGACTTGCGAGATTTCACGATATTTTGCACTTCCGGGTACAAACAAATATCAACAACATTGCTTATCTATATTGGGTAATACTTGTATGCCGGTGGGAAAGTAAAACTTACATGGAAAAGCAAATGATATGTGGAAATTGGCAGAGTTTTTTGTTTTGTAACGAAATGCAAATGGTTTCATCTTGTGAACAAGTATCAATGAAAGACAGCTTCGTATAATCTTCAGGTGGGTGTGTCATTTCAAATTCAGTTTATCCCAATAAATGTTGTCATATTTTCATTTCCATGTAAATCTAATAAATTTGTTTTTTGATACAACATCATTCGCATCTTACACCAGACTGGTGAATTTGATTTCATCAATTTTCTATAGCGCTACCTGATTATCTCTCAGAAGTATATAATGTTTAGAAATTTCGGACAGCGCATATTTCGGATAAACGTTTCAATATGATTATCAGTGTGTTTTAGTTGAATATATTTTCTTCCAACTGAAAATATTATTTATTTATAATTATTATCTTTATAAAGCACAAACAGTCAAGCTGTATATAACCAATTTAAATTGTCATAAAATTCAATGAAATATTTTGCTCCTGTAGATATTTTGACTGAGGACAGTGGTGAGATGAAAGACGTCAGTATCCATTGTAAATACACATGCATGCTCTGCTGTAAAATCGTTTTGGTAAGAAATATATACTTAAAGCTACTTAAACTACATTAATGAAAAATAAATATTATTGTATAACATATAATGTTCTCGTTTTTGTAAATAATTACAGTGTAGCTAAATAAACAAACAGTATGGCATATGTAGTTAATTCATGTTAAATACTGTTTAAAGTATTTTTCTCAAGTAAGTGGGTCATATTTTTTAGTTAAATCATGTTCAGTAAATGGTTAAAAGAACTTAGTCACTATCACATTTTTTAAAGATCAGTTGTCAAAGCAAATCTACAAAAACTAGGACACCAAGAAGTGTTTCTTCCTTTTCAACATTATTTTCTATTCATGACAATATGATAATGATTGAAATTTATAGCTGACCAATTATTATTGCTTTCAACTCATGATTAATTTTCTTTATATACAGGTATGTGATTTCATGGTTGGATCTTGAGTACTTGTCATGGCTCTTGATTTATTTTGGAGTGTTCACCATCAGATTAGAAATCAAATAGTGATACCACCAGGCATAGTTGAAAGGAAATGTCCATACACAGTCTTGGAGTACAAAGTGGTAGAGACATGGCAGTCCATTACATATTTTGACTGAATTAAAGCTTCTTAAAGCTCCATGTCTTGTGTAAACTGTCTGACTGAATGTTTGTATTCTAATAAAAACTAAGGTTGAAGACACTTCAAAGATATATGTCAGTGTAAAAATGTTAAACAAAATATCTGTCTTTGTTAGAAATAAATAACCTGTCTTTATTAGAAATAAATAACATGTCATTTGTAACTTTGTATTAACTTAATTATTCAAAGATAATTTATCTTCTGCAAATGGCTGCCCAAAACAGTTTCAACCAGGCATCATGTAGTTTCAAAACAGTTAAGATAAATTTGTTATAAATAGACTTGTAAATTGACAAGAATTAAAAAGATAAATGTTTAGCATTAAAATGTTTCTATCTTGATTGAGTTTCATTTCATATTATCACCATGATCACTGCAATTGTAAAAGTAATGTAATCTTTAACCATTATTTAAATATCATAAAAATCATCTCAAAGGAAAACTTGTTTCTGAGGCAAGATGTGTAAAATTCCTTCCAGTTATAGCCTTTCACTGCTCTTAGAGAAGCCATGATTTGCATTGTACATGGCAGGTAGTAATACCAGAGTAAACAATATTAATGCAATTCATCTGTGTTGAGTATTCTGCAGCAAAACACTAGCTTGCTAGCCCTTGTAAGCCCAAGTCTCTCTCTTAATTGAAGAAGACTTGCAATTCTGCATTCCTTGAAGATTTTAGTGTCAGAGGGGTAGTTATTACATACCATATACTTCTTTGGGTTTCAAATTACCTGTTTTATAATGTATTGAACCTGTTGACATTTGACCAAAAGTGAATTATCTATACAATACATGCAAAACTTAGGGTTTGCACTTCATACAAAACAATTACATCACTGATACATTAATATACCAATTGGAACTGTTTCAAAATTGTCAATGTTTCAAAAAAACAACAAAAAAACAACAACACACAATGCTTTTAACTTTTGTCCATGTACATTTGTGTAAATGTAGTCATTGAAGAGCTGTCAAGAACTTTTCATCAATATTATTTAGATAGTGTCTGTTTCGATTTCAGGACAGACAAAATTCAAATGACATGCATAGTATTTAATATAGTCAATGCTTGCATATTCAAGCAATCTAGCCATTGCTGTTAGAGAATTAAAGTACACAGTGACACTTATTTTGCAGATGAACTCTTATGATCTTTATCTTTACACAATTTATAGTGCACGGCTTAGCATATATATCACACTGATTTTCCTGTGGAAGAAAAACTTCAGGAAAGCACTTGCAATTATTATTAGTTATTTGGACAATGTAACTTTACACTGTGAAGGTCTACTGATACAAGAATAAGAGTATTTCCTTTTACAAATGTAAAGACTTTGAAAATTAACATGAACAAATTATCAAGTTATAAATCATATTCTAATTGAAAAATGTTCAGCTTGATATCAAAGCTTTGATTGCAAATTTGTGAGCTTATCAATGATTACCTCACAATATTAGTAGTAGATGATATATAATATTTTTGCTAATCTTTACTTCATAGTCATTTAATGTCCATAATGTCATATGACTCTACTGTGATTCCATGAAAAAACCTTATCTCTGGTGTGTTATCAGCTTTGGTATATATAGAGTATCTAGTTTTAATACTTAAAACTGCAATTATATGTGGATATTTTACTCTGTTTATATCATTGTGACATTAACATGTTAACAAGATCATAGTGTTAAACACCATAAAATCATACTCTTTATACATTAAGATTTTTGTGCTGGATGTCATTCATCTTCTTCAGGAAAGTACATTTGACTATTTTCAGTGGCTTATATTAAACTAATATTTCACTGTAACTGTGTGTTCTCTGATATCATTCTCAAATTAAGGAACTGGAAGATGGTAGTTGCAATAAAGGTCTTCATGGACAAATCCTCCTTCATCTTTTCCCTTTTTATCTGCAGAATGAAAAATCAATAAATATGTTGTTACAAGTGTAAGACACTAGAAATGATATTTACATTACATTTAATAAGCTGGTCATGATTGACAGAAAAATTTCATATTTGAAGTAAATAAACATTAAAGATAAACAACAACACATAAAATATAACAGTCAAAAATATTGATCTTCTTGAATGTGAAACATGACTATTTTTAATGTTTTATTTACTTATCAATTATCATGCAGTGAAATCCAAAAGTTATTAAATTATAATAATATATTTTGATAATTGTTTATCTTTCCGATCTCAACTAAAAAATAATCAATTATTTTACATGTATTTACCTTTGGTGTATAGATATTTCAGGATCATAGGCAGTGCAAACAGTTGATTAATGGTACATATTGAACAACTGTATATTCTATACTTGTCATATACCTCCTTGTCTATACATCTGAAATGGTTTAATCAAATATTATATTTTTCAATTCAATCATTATTTGCTAGGTACCATATTAACATGTATATATAATTGAAAAAGGAACAAGAAAAAAATGGAAAGGAAAAAATATCCGCATTACTGTGCAATGTCCGAATTTTGTATAACTTTAATATACACTAGAATTAAAGTGTTTCTCCATTGTTTATTTCAATAAGTTAAAATGGTTTGAATTAATTTCTCACATCAGTAGTTTTAAAACAATACTAAAAGCTAAACAACTAGAATTCACTACCTTGACAAAACATCCGAAACAATTGTCACTATCCGAAAATAAACTAGTTTTATTAAACTCTATAAATCCCTCGTTTTTCCGTCAGATAATTGACCTACCTGCATTTTTTGACCCGCGCTATCCATTCCTTCAAATCTGAAGAGGACCGAAACAAATTTAACTTCTATATCCCTCGAGTTCTTCGGGTTACCTATATGCGTAACGGTAAAAAAGTCTGCCGATGTACCCGGAAGTGGTAAATCGAAAGTGAAAGTAAACGAGATTTACGGGCCCTATAGGGAAAATACGGGTTGTGTTAGAATTAGTATTAAACTACACTAATTCAATATCCTCTATTTCTTTTTAGATTGTGACTATGGAGATAAACAGTCATATTGTGTAGAAATGACATTACAACTGTGTCGAAATAACTTAGAAACTTGCTGTAAAACATGCCAAGATATACGATTAGATATTCCAGGTAAGACAAATTTCACTTTTTTCCTATTTTGTATTTACGTTTAACCTTTCTATAACGTACTGTTTTAAGCTATGTTAAGATGTCTGTAATTAGTAGGATACTTGTCTGTATAAAATTGCAAAGTTCCTCAATCAACAATAGTGTTTGAAACTTTCTAAAAAAATAGGATTACATATTCTCTAAAAAAAGGTTCAAACACTTGACACAACGTATCATCACCTTAGTGCTGAAACGGATTAACTCCAATTGATATAAAAAGACAGTTAACCTCTTGTTTCACTGATGTGACGTGTTGTGACAGCATTCTTTGTATTGTAAACATCAAATTGAATAAGTGTAAGTTTATAATTTATTGAACGAGTTAATTGTATAAAATTTTATTATATACTTGAGAATATTGAGAATTATTTAATTTTACCCATGAAATATGGTGCTATATCAGTCAAATATATTTCATATTTTTTAAAAATAAATATGAAATATAAATATGAAAGTTGGCGGAGTCAAAAATCATATTTATTTAAATGGACTTCTTTCGCAATTTTGTTCGAAAAATCTGATAAATACAAAACAACTTTTTGTTGAATTTCGTTTTGAAAACTATCTAGAATGATAGAAAATGGTCTAACTAAGAAAATTAATCCGAACACCAATATCTTTAATTCAGTCATTTACACTGTACAGACGTTTTTAGAGTTGTTTATGTGACGTCACAATTTAGCGCTATATATCGCGTGCAAAACAAGACAATAATTATATTACTGCGCGCTGTACAATTGCAGTTGTGTAGCAAGCAAGGGGGCCGTGCGTAACCATTTTTCTTTGATAATGAAATTAAATAAAAAGGTTATTTTTTTTCGCATTTTATCATGTTTCGTGAAAATATATTCCATATTTCACTTAAACGAAAAAATATCCTCTTAATATTGATGAAATAAAATGTGCCTTTCATTTTCCATATTTTCACTGTGAAAAAAATATGTTTGACTGTGAAGAAATGTTCAGGTTTTTTTATTGGTGTCTTGCTGGAACACGTTTTTTTTCTAAATTCTGTCAGAATACAAAATTCAAGGGAAAGTCTTTCAAATTGTAATGCCAGAAGAGCAAAATGTATATAATAAACAGATAATTCAAGTTTTTCCTATTTTCATCTTGTGGGAGGAAAACAATCTTACTGACGTGATGTCGTAAATGACGTCACGTTGTATTATTATTTGGCACACTTTCCATTTACCATTAGGTTAAAATGTCTTTTTAAACGTTTCTTTGCATATAATTAAAAGACATTTGTTTAGTTCAGTGTAAGATCTGAATATATGTCACCGAATGAGTACCAAAAAGTATATTTCACGGTTGGCGCAGCCATGAGTGACATACATATATGAAATTATCGTGTTCACGAAAATAATCATCATATTTCACTCGTGGCTACCGCCACTGAGGAAATTTTTATTTTCATAACACTCCTGTTTCTATATAAAAAAAACTTGAATATCCTCTATATATAATATTAAACTAGCCTCTGGCAAGCATTATATCATTTTATTCACTTTATTTTATTCAACGAGTTCAATAGATTAAGTAATGAACTTACACGAATTTAATATTCTATTTATCATATACCAAAAATAAAGATCGTTCGGAGTGAAAAAGAATCAGTTTTCATTGACAGGCCTTTATTAGTAAAACGCTAACGTTTTAGTGCGCGTCTTAACTCTATGATTATGTAATGAAAATGACGTCACGTCAAAATATTTGCACATGTTTACCATTAGAAATAATTACATATATCCATATTTGTGTCCTCTCATTTAAGGTAATGTAAATATTCTCGTATAATCATTCAATATAAATAAACGTTACAGAACAAAATGTTAATTTTATCTATATTTTTCGGACTTGAGCAAAGCTCCTTGTTCCCAAAAGAAAGAAGAAAAAAAGATTACAATACATAATCTAAACGCAAATACATGTAAGCAGATCTTACAATCGTCACATTAAAATATATGCTCGGATTCAACTCGTATTTATTCAACTCGTTCGATAAATTCAGTATTGAACTTACACTCAGCAAATATCATCCATTTTTCACATCCTAATGCCGCGTTTGCGACAAGTTGTGAATAAACTTTACAAGTGAAATGTTAACTAGTGTTATTGAAAATTGCTATAGAGTTTAAAAAGATATTATGGGTAAATCAAGGTATTATGTTTCGTTGACTATTGTTTATTTCAGGTTGTCCTTGGGGTGATGAATATACTGACTGTACTCAGAGTCATTGCACCACTGATTTTTCGAAATGTTGCCAAACCTGTGCCGCAACTAATACAGCTTTAACGACAGCCGCTACTTCTCATTATCGACACCAGTTAACCTTTACCTTACGACAGCCGACTACGACATCGACTTCTAGTAAACCTTTACCGACAGCCGCAACTTCTACGACATCGACTAATAAACCTTTATCGACAGCCGCTACTTCTACCACAGCGGCAGACTCTCCTTCAGCAACGGGAACTATTAAAACTACAGCAAAAACTGCTGATACTACTACCACGACCAGTGAGCCTGCCGCAGGAATTTCTACAAAAAATACAGTCATTATATTGAATTTCATCATACATCATGTAATTATATGTTTATTCAATGGTATCTGAACATTTTGTATTTAGATCTATAATAAACATCTATAATGAAAAATATTTTTTGTTTAGAGGATATTTGTTTAGTTCAGTGTGAGATCGGAATTTCCTACATATCAGACAGGATTATCTACCGTTTACACCGGTGCTAGAAAACTCTGTCTTACACCCCCTATGTAAGACAAGTCGCGTGCTTTTAATGACGTCATTGCCACGCGCTTTTTATGAATGAATTGCGTTCTTAGGATGACGTCATTTTACCGTTATGAATATAGTTGTAATTTCATACGCTACTATAAGAAAAAAGTGCGTAATGAGAATGTCAGTTTTCATAATTTCTGTTCTGAAAATAATTAATATGTAATATGCATGAAAAAGACTCAAACATTGGCTGTCAGTACAGACGGGAATATCTAGCTCTCGGGTAACTGTTTAGCGGAAACTCGGCAGAGCCTCGTTACCGCCGTAACAGTTACCCTCGAGCTAGATTTTCCGGTCTGTACCGGCAGCCAGTGTAAGATTCTTATAATATTTCACCGAGTGAGCATCAAAAGGAATATTTTACGAGTGGCGCAGCCACGAGTTAAATATGAACTTTTGGTGTTCACAAGGTGAAATATATTTCATTATTTAATTTTACCCATGAAATATGGTGCTATATCAGTCAAATATATTTCATATTTTTTAAAAATAAATATGAAAGTGGGCGGAGTCAAAACTCATATTTATTTTAATGGACTTCTTTCGCCATTTTTTTTGAAAAATCTGATGAATACGAAACAACTTTTTCTTGAATATTGTTTTGAATACTATCTAGCATGATAGAAAATGGTCTAACTAAGAAAATTAAACCGAACACCAATATCTTTAATACAGTAATTAACGCTGTACAGACGTTTGAAGAGTTGTTTACATGACGTCACAATGTAGCGCCAAACAGCGCGTGCTTACGCACAAAAAAACTGCGCGCTGTACAATTGCAGTTGGTAGCAAGCAAGGGGATTCTTTACCATTTTCTTTGATAATGAAATTAAATAAAAAGGTTATTTTTTCGTTTTTCGTGAAATATGATATATATTTTCACTCAACTTGATAAAATGCCACATATTTTCACGAGCCGGGACATATATTCCATATTTCACGCAAACGAAAAATATCCTCTTATTATCACATTAACCGCGGCACTGGAGAGTAATAAAGCCATTTAATAAAAACGATATTACACTATAGTCTGTCCCATTAAAAATGGAAATGAACTTTTGCCTGGAATGAATTAACAAAACGACGTTGAATAAAAAATAAAACTTTTTTGTAAACTAAAAAAAAGTCACCCTCGAGATTTTTCTACTTTTCTTGTGAAAGCAAATTTTGATTTCTCTATGGTAAATCCCTGTTGTTTATTTTCCGTAGCCATTGCCAAAGTACTCTTCATTTGGAGATGAACGGGAGAAAGCACGTGTCATGTTTCTAAAATATACATGAGGTTCTCGGGGTCGTTTCATGATTATTTTACAAAGCTGGATCTACAAGATGTAGGCAGTTTAGTTGCAATTCATGATGGAAAACTTTAAAAAATGAAAAATAAGCAACAAGAACACCGAGTCACATGGAGAAGATCTAGAAATTGCACTTACTTTTAAGCTGAATAGAAGAGAAGCCCTATGAACTTTATAAACGTCACGACAAATTCGCATTCTGAAGATTCCTTTATTGCCAGTTTCTATCCAGTTCCGTAGATCCCACTTTTTTACTTCAAAAATCCTGAATAACACGACTCCTACACTTTTGATGATCCAGATTTTTTAAACTGATAATCCGTCTCATTATTAAAACATTGTTCAATTTGTGGAGTTATCTGGGTTAGCAAATGAAATATGTAAATGAAACACATCATAATTCAGCATGTTCCAAATCCATAATTCAAGAACGGCCCATCAATTTTAGTTGTCAACATGACGAAAAAAACATTATTACGTCAACAACAATTTACGAAATATATGACGTAACAAAAATGCCTCGCTCTTTTTATGGATGATTCCAGTTGCGGCATTGACAGAGGGCGGTTAGGCATATGTAACCTCAAACAGATAATTTTAAGCGTTGAGATAAATTTGTCTTGATGGCATTTAAAATATTTTTTGTATACCCAGAGTTTGCAACTTAACTGTAAAAATTACACCTTCAATTCATATGTTAATATAAAACTTTTGCTAACATTTAAAATAATTTTAAACACACTTAATGACATGAATCTACAACAGTACGTTAATTACATATAACATTCGTCTTGATTTAATGTTTTGAAACTATTTTATATATTTCTCAGAAATAATTTCCCTACATATTATCTCGTTATTCAAGACTTCTTTACCGTTTGTCCCACTTTCTTATCCAATCAAATGCTCCAATTTATTTGAAATATATTGCATACACTATACCGGGACTGGTGTATGGGGTAAAAATAAGTCGACTTATTTTAACAAGTATTGGCGTGGTATCTGGCAAATATGACGTTATGGATATGGGCGGAGTTTTAAATTAGACAATGAATGTAGCATGCGAATAAAGTAAACAAATAAGAAAGCGATTTCATACGGTTATTTATAAATCCCAAGCTTTTACATGTATAAAAATTATTGAAACAGTACATTCCCTATACCGTCATAGTTATAATTCAAACATTAGAAAACAGTTTGTGGCTGATCACTGTAAATAATAGACATGGAGTGAGAGAAATCTCAAAGTTCGAAACTAACATATATCTTTAAAAAATCATACAGAATATCCATTTTTCATAATTCCAAGACAAACTTTTTCCACATATTGTTAAAATCTCCACATTTTTAACAGTTAACTTCGACCCCTATACCCTCGATAGTCAACTCGCGCATGCGTGGATCCAATATTCTGCGAAGTTCAGAAAAAAGGATCTTCAGTTTTAACAAAGTTCATATGCATGGATGTTTCATTTCGAATATACCGTTGTAGCCTTGCAGCAATGTTTAGTAAAGTTGTTGGAGGATAAAATTCACCATTTTTCCTTTCAATTTCACAGATGAATCCTTGTTTTAAACCAAAAATCCATTTCTGCACATGAACGGAACTGCTCTATTTGAACGGGAATAGGATAACCAGGTTCTTGCTTAGTCTCCGGTTGTAGGTTGCGGTTTTCAGTCAACTCCCTGCAGACGCACACTGCCCAGTTGTTGCTTTTCGTTTTATTATAGGGCACTGTATTTCTGTTTCTTCTTAATGTCATCAGATGTCAAAAGCTTTTCAAATCGGCCTGCAAAATGCAAATATCAAAGAAATCACTTAAATATGATTTTCAAAGTTTTTTTTTAAATAATTGAAACAGCATTTTAGGCAGATTAACCATGTTCTGTTTGAATAATTTACCGTCACTACTTTGAGGTTCTTAGCTGGTTGGGCGTAGAAAAGCTGCGAGCTTGGTCATGTTACAACTTGTATTTTCATTCAGATAATGATGCAGTTAGATATTGCGAGAATTCGAGAATATTTTTTATAAAATATTTACCTAAGCTATTGCCTCTTTTTGCTTGTGTCTGCAATCAATATCAAGCAACCGTGACCACATAAGCACATTCGACAGGTAATGGTTCAAAAATGTGATCCTTGCTATATTCATTATGTCAAACACAACCTGATCGCAGGATTGTTACATAATGATTGATGACTAATGATCTAAAATACATAAAAACACAAGGCTTTGATTGACAGGTCAGAACATTCGGACCGTGTGTTGGCCTGTCAATCTATACTAGTTAGGGCGGGACTCGTATTACATCAAACGCTGTAACGACACTTTGTAAGTGACTTATTCCACGAAAGTGGGTCAAACGGTAAGCCAGTTATAGTTCATATTTTAAAAAATATAGAACTTATTGCTGCGCTCCGCTACGCTACGCTTGCAATAAATTCCATATTTTTTAAAATCTGAACTATAACTATTACGTAAATCCTACTCTTTTTTCTCCCCCGAAAGGTATGCTAGATCTATTGTTTTTTCACTGAATATTTTCAAATTTTAGGAAAGCTAAAATTATTGAGAACGTCACTCGGTGTTTCTCTTTGACTACCCTTCATATTAACAAAATAATTATATGTACAAAAAACCACTTATTGTCGCTTATTGAACAGTCCAATTCAAACTTATATCAAATCACTCCCGGTATTTCTGGACATTTTGTTGAATTGTGAGACGGAAAGTTAAATCTGTATTTACGAGCTTAAAGTGTATAGGCCTACGTTTGATTGCTTAAACTTGAAAGCATGATATTATATTCTTATAGAATTCAAATTTTCCGCTTAAAGTAGACACTGTGGTAACAAGCAAACCAATGCTGAACGTATAGTGAATCAGTTTTCTTTTCTTTATATTTTTTTGTCAGATTTGCATGATAATATAGTATTTGTTGGCGATGTCTTGTTAAAGTTGAAACCTACGGAAAGTTTTAGCGCATGAACTTCGCACCCGAAATAAGAAGGGTAACATATTTTTGTATCCCATCGAACCTGGTCAATTTATATATTTTAAAATAGACGTGATACACACAGAATTCAGACAACTACAGAATTATGTAATTTACAACAGTAAATTAAACATAGTCTTTCAAAAAGTACATAAGCTTTATAAAGCAAGTAGTACATTATATCGAATGTGAAATTGACATCTTAGTCACCATGAAACAATTAAAAGGGACTCTCAATAAGATATCGTTAATATAATTATAAGTATCGCCTGTTAAAAGCAACAGATATTTTGCCACGAACATTTTTAGCTCGACTTTTTCTTCTTTTTTTAAAGTAGAGGTATTGCTAAAGTCGCGGCGGCGTTGCCGTTGCCGTCCGCAAACTTGTACCTGGATCATACCTTTTTTATTTCTTAGTGTATTGTCTTCATACTTGGCCACAACAACCCTTGGGACAAGACCTTTCAGTAGACCACACTTACCTTGACCTTCATCTATTAATGACCTTGACATTCAAGGTTAAAAATCCAAATTTTGCTTGTTCTTGCTATTATCGGCTGTAACTTTGTTATTTTGGAATTGATTGTCTCCAAACTTGAACATAATAATCTCTAAGGATATCCCTTAGAAATGATCAGACAGACCTTGACCTTCACTCATAAATGATCTTGACTTTGAAGGTCAAACTATTGAAATTTTCATTGTTTTTGCTATTATTGACTGTAACTTTGTTATTTTTGAATGGATTGTCTTCAAACTTGTACATAATAATCTTCAAGGATAACTCTTAGAAATGATCCGACAGACCTTGACCTTCACTCATTAATGACATTGACTTTGAAGGTCAAATTATTGAAATTTTCATTGTTTTGGCTGTGACTGACTGTAACTTTGCAATTATTGAAGAATCAACTTCATTTTATAACAGAACATTCTTAAGGACCAGGGTGCCGTTTTATCAACGGTCGTACGCCCGGTCGTAGCTAAGATTTGGTCGTACGACCGATCTTACGGCTACGTCGCGTTTTATCAACATATGGTCGTAGCTAAGACGTCGTAGATTAAAGTCGTAACTTTAAGGCTGCTTCAGACCAGTCGTAAGTAGGCTAAAGATCTTAAAAATGGCGGCCATTTTTGCATAATTCCCGATAGGAACTTTCAAACACAAATATTTGAACAATTGAAGTTTTCAACTAACGTAGGTTTTCCGCGTACATGTTTATGTACAGTGCTGATCCTATTTTAACATCCCAGGGCAGGGACGCAACTATCACTTCCAGTTTAATCTCTGGATAATTTCCACGAAGAAGCTATGGTTAGTTATATTACTTTCATTTTAGTACAACCGACGTATATATGTGTGTTTAATAGAACTCCTGTCACAGCTGTAGCCAGATTAGCAAATAATTCTTACAACATTCTATACCGTTTCCTACTTTTCTTTTCGAAATATTTTAGTACAGAAATTTCGGATAGTGCAGAATTCGGACAGAACATAGATCTAACAATTGTCAATAATAATTGTGTACTTGTCGAGCTATAAAACCAATTTGATTGTTATAATTAGTTAAGTATCTTCTTTTGTAGACCTTTCAATGAAGTTGCTACAGTATCTAGGTGAAAGACATGTGTTAATAATGTGAAATCAACACATGGCAACATTATGTTAACCTACAGTACAGTGCTGTAATGGGAATGCAAATGAAATTGGAGCACTGTTGTTTGGTAAAGCATGTATATGATTGCGAAATGAGCATCTTTAGATCCAATTTGGTGTATCACATGAACAGAAGATCGTAAACAAAGGACAAGTAACTTGTGCAGACAGGTGAGTTTGAAATATAGACAGTTTTAGAGTCCACTTCACCCCTCTTTCTATGAAATCTGATTAAAGCACTACACCTCCCTTTTTGGTTATGTGTTGTTATGTGCTTTACATAAATTAAGGTGGAACATGTGAAATGCAATCAATTATGGTGATTAAAATATTCAATGTTTTAACACATTTCTTGTTATTATATATAATAAGTATGGACCAAATCAAAACATTGTAGAGATATTACTTTTCCCCTAATATATTTATATGGTATTAATGATAATCAGTTAAGTACTTAATATTTTTTTCGAAAAATATAATTATCATATTAATTAAAACTTCAAAATAAGTTTGACTATTTAAAATAACTTATTTTGTATTAGTCATTTAAAGTGGGTGACCTACTATCTTAGATATGAGATATCTCTTTCACCCCTCATTTGTTCTAACAGTGATACTGGGGAATTCATGTATGTCCCAGTTTGACAGTACATTGATAGTTATATTGAAAATTACACATAATATATTTTATCAACAATTATATAGCAGATTTTTCTTTATTTTTATGTCACATTGATACTTAAAAATTGTCTAACTCTTTCATGTAATGATTCAGAAAATGATGTAATATATCAAAGTTCCATGTTGCAAGTTAACTTGTCAGTGTTAAAAATATTGAAAATTGCCTTGAGTTAAACATTTTATAAAAAAAAAGAAATAATCAGGGATGATGGTCTTAATGATTTTGGGATGTGAAGTGTCTTCAGATGTTAAGTGTCTTGTTTCCACATTTAAACAAATACTATTGTAAATTTGTAATATATTGTAGTAATGTTAGATTTGTGGAAATCATTATCATATTTACTCATAGGTTTGTTAAAGTTTATGTAGATATTATCCAAGTAGGCTTCTTTTCAGGTATCACTTGATTTTCTCTTATACATGCACATGCTATATAGAGTCTATGAAATTGTAGCTGAATTTGTATCTGATTTTCCTTACAGATATAAGGCAGCATGAATAGTTAGTACTTGGTGCATCTGCTGATCAATGTGTTTGTAAAAGAGGACATTAACAATGATGAGGCTGTATATCACCAGGGTCAGTAGTGACAAACTTATTTTAGAAACAGTATTATAAAAGTTAAATTACCTTACACTGTCAGAAAACTGACAGTTATAGAGGAATATCAAAAAAATCAACAGTAAGAACCTATTTAAAAGCTCAATGGCTGTGACTGACAAATATTATTACAAAGACATACCAAATTATTGAATAAAAACTTTTAACATTTAGTTATAAGGATTTCATTTAAATTATACATTTTCATATTTATCTGTTCATGACATTTCATATGAGATAGTTTGTAAACAAAATATTGTATCAAATTACAATGTTTATTATTTAATTTTAAGTCAGATTATTCTCTGTAATGTTTCAGACTACTGCTGAATTATGAAAGGTTTACAGCTAAACAATCCTATGGTTGGAATCAATATCCAGGGACAGCTCTCCCTTAAAGGGGCCAAGTGTTGTGACCTTGTTATATGGCCAACAAAGGAATAAAAGTCCTAAAGATAGTTATGAAGAAAGTTATATAGACTATTAAACATTTCATCAATTTATATTGAATAAAGTACATTATGTATAATTTAATACATTCCATAATAACTTTGTTTCTACATGCACATGAATAAAAATAACACTTGAGTATGGTCACAAAGGGTCAGTGATGTACAATTATTACCCTGAATGCATGTAAGAAGCTTTATGTGAATGTTTTTTTATTAATGATTAATGAAAACATATACATAGGTTAAGGTCTTTAAGTTGTTTCTGAGTGTATACCTTGGATGGTACTTGTTTGTACTGACTGTATATTCACTAGTCTTCACTAGTCTTAAGTTCAAAACAATAGCTATTAATGTATGTCAAAATCAAATATTTATATTTCTTGAAGTGATAACTTAACTGAATCATTCTCTTGAATAACATTATGAAATGTTTGATTCATGTTCAAAACTTGAAAGGAAAACACAGCAAAATGATGTTCTTCTCTGTATTCAATTTGATTAAAGTGACTTTACAAAAACAAAGATTCATCTGAAAGTAAAATGACATGAGATAATTCAATGTAAAATATGTGTTTATATTGATATTTATTGTTACTTAAATGCATTAAAAATTGTTGGAGTAAATATTAAAAACACAAAGAAAATAACACAAAAGGGACAATAATGAAAATAAACAATCTTAATGTAAAGCTGTGAAACTTTCTACAGAGTTCCCTGGAAGTGACATTTTATATTTAATGTGCTAAATTTATTAATTTCATAACTGCTCTTGTCTTGTCTGAATAGTACCCTGTGTCTGTAAAAACATATTGTTTTTATATTGTTATCTAGTTTCAAGATTGTTTTCTAGCAGATATGTACATCAATTCTAAACAGGTATTGTTAAAAATTAATATGAATTAGAAAAATTGTAACATGTCATTTCAATGTCATAATTTTCTTTGCAATATGTATTCATTGTCATACTGGAATAATAATAAAAGACTTTGTAACATTCTAACACTTACTGTTCTGTAAATACTTTTACAAATAAGCCAGCCATATTGTTTCTTCTTAATCTTAGCTGAAACTGCTAAGAAAGACTCTTCTAATGTTTGCAGATGTTGTTTAGCATTTTACCTCAGAGCCCTGTACATATATTTTGTGTTCAAGCTGTGCCACCTGTAACTAATTCAATGTCATGAACGCACATACAGGTTGAACCTTGATGGGTGTCATCAACAGCGCTTTGTTCGAAGTAAAAATATCTTAAAACACTAGCTATGCTTTGGAAGCCTTTTGCTTTACTCACACAGTTAGGACAAGATACTTTACAGTTGGCAGATCATAATGATGTATACTATCACGTTCTTTGACTTTTATTCAGAATATTCTTATAAATACAGGGATGTAAGGGATATATTTACATAGTCATTGGTGATATTTAATTGTATCCTTGGATGACCAGAATGACGCTACCGCTTTTATTAGAAATAATGTGCCTAACATGCAGAAGGGATTTAAAAATTTTAACATCGTCTATAACATATTTTGTAGACGGATTTATGTCTTCCTTTTGATGCATCTCTATATTTTGATCCGCAAATAAGTATCTATTTGTCTCACGGATTTATATAAATCCGTGAATGATTTACTGTTTTTTTTATTTAATGAAGATCAATATACAATTTATCCTATGTATTTTTTTTAAATCTTCTACAAGAAAAGAAATCGCATTCTAACACAAAAAGACATCGTTCTTTTGTACTTTATTTAGCTAATTTGGCCCTCGGAAGCATTAATCACAACAAAATTACATAAAAATTGCAGACTCGGTTTGATTGAGTCAGTACATGAGGGAAAATGAATACGTGCAACATCCCTCACACCCTTAAACGTATTTAAATGTCCTTTTTGATCCTCCCCCGTGCTTTGCCGTTATTAAAGCTACTCTGACGAGGCATACATGGTATTCAGTTTATGCATAGGTTTTTTGTATAGTATATAAATTATATGGGATTTTTTTAAAATCGTTTTTTCGTTATGGATAGAATCTCGGGGTCCTGCGGTTTATCATCTTTATGCAGTCGTGTATACATTAACAGGTGCGCGGGAAATCACGTGACCTGGAAACGTACTTTCGACTGTATGGTTACTGTTTATACGGTCGTACGACCGAAAATGGTCTTAGCTGCGACTGAGGGCGTACGACCATGTTCATAAAACGGTCATGTGGAAATCGTAAGCTCGGTCGTAAGATAAGATCGCAGTTACAGGGGGTCGAACGTATAGCGGTGCGATACTCCTTTAAGCGAAGTGAATTCATGCGATACGTCCTAATGGCGGACGGGAGCGAAAAAAAAGTGGGTATGAGCTTGTTTTTTTCCAAATGTTTGTTGTCTTTTGTAATTTTTTGAAGAATAGCACTGTGCATGCTGATCAGAACTTATAATTGTGCATGATTGTCAAAATAAAATACTAAATTTTATAGAATTGAGGAAGTTATTGGATATTTGTTGCTGCAAATTCAACCGTCAACCTGATATGCACATGCAAACGAATAATGTATCAGTCGTTTTAAAACGAGATATTCGATTAATTTAAGTCCCAACATGTTTATTTTTGAAAACAAAACGATATACAAGAGTAGTTTTCCATATCTATCCGAAAATATATAAAATATTTCCAGTTTTCTTACTGTACGCCTAATATTTGGTCCGATAAACCAACTGTACGCACAAATGTTGGTATGTTTTCTGTAGCAACTTCCTCAATACAGTACATTCTTATTCAATTTTGATGAAATATCAAGTTTTGATTTTGTATGTTAATCATATAAAAACCACAGTGTCAATTAAAACAACAGTGTCAATTAATGTATCATACTATGGTATAGTAAATTTAAATATTCAAAGGTTAATCATTAAAATGAGATAAGTTATAATTATGCACAGAAATTTGAAATTCTATCAAGTAATCAATAGTCACGATAATATTTGTTTTGTTTCTTCCATTTTTTTACAATGGAACTTGAAATTTATAAAAAAAAATACTGGTTTGATTTCCTTTATGGATTGGATGTTATATATTATATACAGAGCACATCATTGTATTTCAGTAATTCTGATGTTTGTCATTAGCTCTGTCGCTTTGAATATATAATTATGCTACTCCATAACCAGTGTATACCAAACAGCTTTGTGTATTTGCTTATGAAAGCATTCATACTTTTAGTGATTTAACATATCTGCCAGTAGTTTTACTTTTAAAACTAGGCTTTCTCTGGAACATTTAATGTATAGCATTACCCCTCACTTTTTTGTAAATATTCATTTCCACTAGGAGTTAATCTTTTTGTTAAAGCAAGTGTACCAAGAGATTTGTACTGTTACAGGCCAACAGCACTTTTTAACAGTAAAAAATCACGGCAAGTATATTTTAAGTGAATAAAAGTATTATAGATTACAGTATCTGTTTGGGAAATAAAATAAATAATACACAAGCGTTTGTGAGTAACAGTAAAAATATCAACCCTCCTAAAATACTGTTTCCCTCGGCTAACACCTTGGCTAACATTATTTTCCTTGGGATGATATTTTAACTGTAACCCACAAACCCATGTGTTATTTATATACTACTCCATAAGCAGTGTGACTCAATCTAATATTATATACTCAAAAGCTTTTTGTTTATTTGCACATGTGTCAGCATTTGTACTTGTGGTACTTTACCTATCTGGCAGTAGTTTTGTTTGTTAATCAATTTGTAATGTTTTAATTGCTCTGCAACATTTACAACTGTGTATTTGCACATGTGAGCATCAGCTGTTCCTAAGAAAGACACTGAGCTGTTTGGTGTCCAATGACTGACTGAATTTTGAAATTGTAGTTTTGTGTTTTTTCCTGACAGGCCACAATTATGTGCACTACAAAAATAGCCTGTTCTAAGCAAGATTTTAGAAAAGAATTTTACCACCTAAAGATTTTTACCAACTTGTTCTCGGTCTCTATCTCTAGAACATCAGTGAAATGTACTTTCACTGTATTTTATAGGTTGTTTGAAATGTTCAATTCTATTTATAATATGAAAAAAACTATCAGTTTGACAGCAGCATGTACAAACGATCTTAGAACCTCATGAAGTAAAACAGCCCTTATATCACATATTAACTGCTATTTTTCTGAAATGTTCTCCTTTGATAGTGAGTTAATTTATACAAGATTTCTTAAATGGTTTCTTAAATTCATTCTTACATATTTTGGTCAAATTCCTGCTTTTTATCTAAGATCTTAGAGTAAAGGTTACTTTTTTCCAACTCCTAATTATCACAGGATAATTATTATTAATTATTCAAATTAAGTTCAAACACCTATATAGATGGTTATACAAAACTTTTATTTCAAGTAAATCTTTAAGGAAAGAAGAAGATTTCAGAATTCCGGAAACGGGCAAATATATGGTAGATATCTTAGTATAATCATAGGAAAACATGTACAGCAGATGTGAAAATGAAAAATATCGAACCTTTAACAGCGTACAGTTATTTTATCGCACCAAAATCCAGCGTACACTTAAATATTTTGACCAGTAAGCGTCTATGTATATCGGAGCACAAAGGTACTTGCTATGCAACTCAATTATGATTACTCTTATAGAATTAAGAAGGAAAAGAAATTAACTATATTTATAAAAGCTTGCATTAAGCGATTTTATTCACCGACACAAAATTAGTTGCCGTCAGTTTACCTTCAATAACTTTTTTAGTTATGAATTTAGGCCTCTGTAATTTTGATGAAATGTGTGTCGGTCCTATCTTCACATCCTCAATACAAAATATGCAATTGTAATCGAAGATTTATGAAATACTTAATAAAAAACACTCACTCTGACGTGTGTTTACACGGGTAAATCCGCCGTTAGGGCGTATCGCGTGAAATCACCTCGCTTAAAGGAGTATCATACCGCTATACGTTCGACCCCCTGAGTTACGACCGTCTTGTTGATAAAACGGCACAAAACCAAATTGACTTGGGCTCTTTAATGACCGTAACCTTGAAGGTTAAATTACTGAATTATCTCAGATTTGTGCATTTAATGACCATATATATTTATTGGTGTGTGTGTGTGTATATATATATACACACATTCCATAATTTGAGCAAACGCAGAAGCGTGCATTATAATTATACGAGTAATTATTATTGATCCGCGCCGAAATTGTTTTCAAATGCTTGTGATGGGTTATCTCCTGGAAACAATAAAACCAAATTCAATCAGCAAACTCGCCGAGTCGGCTCAACAACATTTCCTACGCTTCATAGAACTAGCCTAAGCAATGTAAAATTTTGAACTTGGAGCTGTGTTAATGATTCTCGAACAACAAGAAATAATACAACAACAGCGATGAAACGTTTTACCTATTTTAAATACTTTTGAACGAGTTTTTGGTTCTTGTACATTCAGTTAATTATACAATTGACTTAAAAATACCATGAAGGGAACTCTGTTCTTTTTATATATGTCTACTGGATGCAGCCTTATTAACATAAAAATGGTAAAAGGTATTGTATAGGGCGTTGCTTAATAATTATAGGTAAACACAATATCAGGGTATTATGCTCACGTCGATAAATACGTAGATACCCTCATTTTATAAGTTCTTATATAAAACATCAGGCAGAAAAACAGAATATGGAAAAGAAGCATTTAGTATGAAAAAACACGATCACATTGCATTAGACAATCACATTTTATCCAACGCACTTTGTTTGATAATCGGTACTTTCTTCATATTCTGTATGAAAGTTTTTGCCAGAAAACTATCCTTTATAGGGATATGAGCTAGTCAGGATATTTATTTTTTTTATTATAAATTAGAGCAACTTTATTTTGGCTTTTCTTATTTTGTGTATGTTCTTAATTTACGATATTTATAAAACCACATAAAAATGTGTTAGGTTAATACATTTTATGTGACTGTAAATTTACACACCTTTTTAGGAAACTTAAAGGCAAGT